GTTGCCAAAATCTTTTCAGTATAATAATGACTTATGTTAGTTTGCATGATTCGGTACAGAGTACAATCGAGGCCAAAAGAGCGCTATATAAAAAGTTAACTTTACAAGCATACTTGCGTGGCCTTCGTGATCCACTTGGGTCCCGAATTCGATGTATGCGACCCGAATCAATAGAACAAGCCCTCGAATTTGTACATGAGGAACAAAATACCTTATACATTCAGCAGCGTAATCAAAACTGTCCTGATAGAAAATTAAATAATAACGGTAATAATCAACATAATATGACCAATGCTCAACGTAATTTTAATTTTATGCCTAATTTTAATCCAGGTCCCTCTAGATTTTTAAACCCACAACCTAATAGGTCTATGCCTATGCCTATGGCCGTTTGGAAGCCTCAATTGCCTTTAAATCGTGGCCCTTCTAGAACACAACAGATTTTTGGTGCTCCTCCACCAAATTACCGTCCACAAAGTAATGTATTTAGAGTGCCTCAACAGAAACCGGTTAATAATGGTCCTCAACCGATGAGTGGCGTTAGTCACTATGTCAGTAAGACCTCTCCACCTAAACCCGTCTTTACCGGGCATGATTGGTCAAGACATGGGAACCCACCACCTTCAAACTATTTCAAATTTAAGGATGTAAATTTTAATGAGGTCCAAGACCAATATGACTATGACTATTATTCCTATAACGACTACTACTATGACCCATATTACCAGGAACATTACTATTCTGAGGCAGTTTATGACATGACAGAGTATCAAGACGTTAACGAATACTCACCTCCTAGTGTTGAAGAGACACAAGAGAGTTCAACTTCAAATCAGGATTTTCAGACAACATACAAATCAGACAAGCAAAAATAGAAATAAATTTACAAACTCAAAGACAACTTCCGTACATACAGATAACAAATCCACCCTTAAAATTATTGGTTGATACAGGGGCGAATCAATCATTTATAAGCCCCGAGGCAGTAGAAAAATTCTATCCCAATACACAGTGTAATTACGACCCTTTTGAGGTTACTAATATTCATGCGACCACTCGAAATAATTACTCCATAACTATACCATGTTTTTGCGAATTTAGTGAAGATTGTGATATAACCTTGTTCATTTATAAATTTCACAATTATTTCGATGGCTTAATTGGACTAGATTTGCTGGAAAAATTGGAATCTAGCATTGACTTAAAAAATAAAGTCCTAGTTACACGGAGCTCTACCAACCCCCTGCGAATGTATGATTCACGGAACTGTAATCTTTATGAGGAAATAATACCGGCCAATACATCTAAAATAATTCGAGTCCCAATTAACTTTCATGACGGTGACGCATTTGTGACTGAACAGACAATATCTAACTGTACTGTTCATGACTGTCTTACTAATGTAAAGGACAACCGAGGTTTTATTGAAATTACCGACCCGACTAAACATGATGTAGTATTTTCGATGGACCGACCAGTTAGTGCGGAATTATTTAATACTCAGTGCACGCGCACTCAACAACATACCGATCGCACATCCGAAGTACTTTCGCGATTACGTACAGACCATCTGAATCCTGAAGAACGAGCCAATCTAGAGTCACTCTGTTCTCGATACGCTGACGTGTTCTATCTTGATGGCGAGCCATTAACTTTCACCAATAAGATAAAACATAGTATTCGTACTTCAGATGAATTACCTGTTTATACCAAAAGCTACAGATACCCCTTCGTTCACAGACAGGAAGTTCAAGATCAAATCTCGAAAATGCTCGATCAGGGAATTATCCGTCCTTCTCAGTCAGCATGGAGTTCTCCCATATGGGTTGTTCCCAAGAAGGCTGATGCTTCTGGCAAAGTCAAATGGCGAATTGTTATCGATTTTAGGAAAGTTAATGAAAAGACTATCGATGATAAATATCCTATTCCTAATATAAATGATGTATTAGATAAATTAGGTAACTGTCATTATTTCACCACTTTAGATTTGGCCAGTGGATTTTACCAGGTCGAAATGGACCCTCAGGATATCCATAAGACAGCTTTTAATGTAGAACATGGGCACTTTGAATTTTTAAGAATGCCCATGGGTTTAAAGAATAGCCCTTCAACTTTTCAGAGGGTTATGGATAATGTTCTTAGAGATCTTCAAAATGTAGTGTGTTTAGTGTACCTTGATGATATAATTGTTTTTAGTGTTTCATTGCAGGAACATATAGTAAATTTAGAAAAAGTATTTAAAAGGTTAAGAGAATCGAATTTCAAGATACAAATGGATAAGTCCGAATTTTTAAAACTAGAAACTTAATATTTAGTTCATATAATAAGTAAAGATGGTATTAAGCCTAATTCTGATAAGATAAAAGCTATTCAAAAATTTCCTTTGCCTAAAACCGCCACTGAAATAAAACGTTTCCTTGGTTTAGTAGGTTATTATCGAAAATTTATTCCTGATTTCGCTCGTATAACGAAACCAATGACGCAGTGTTTGAAAAAAGGTTCTAAAATAACTTTTAATGATTCTAATTATGTTAATTGCTTTGAGAAATGTAAATTATTATTGATTAATGATCCTATCTTGCAGTATCCTGATTTTAATAAGGATTTTGTTCTTACAACCGATGCATCTAATTTTGCTATTGGCGCCGTACTTTCTCAAGGAACTATAGGTAGTGATAAACCTATAGCATATGCATCGAGAACACTTAATTCGAGTGAAATTAATTATAGTACTATTGAAAAGGAACTTTTAGCAATAGTGTGGGCTACTAAATATTTTAGACCATATCTATTCGGTAGAAAATTTAAGATCATAACAGATCATAGGCCACTTCAGTGGGTAATGAATCTTAAAGAACCAGGTTCAAAGTTGACGCGTTGGAGGCTAAAACTAAGCGAATATAACTTTACCACCGAATATAAGCAAGGAAAAATGAATACCAATGCCGATGCTTTATCTCGCGTCGAAATCAATAATGAGGACGTGAGTTCCATCGCTGTAAATACATCAGAAAAACCTCCATCTCAGTCTGGTTCTGCCACCGAAACAATTCATACCAGTGATGAGAACCCGATTTTAGAAGTACCTATATCTGACGACCCACTTAATAGATTTAGTCGACAAATTTGTTTCGTTTTAGTAGGTGACATAAAAAAACGACCGACAGTGACAAAACCTTTCGAAACTCATACCAGAACGACTGTACAACTCTCTGAATCTAACTTGACCAATGACGTTATTAACGCAATTAAAGAATATGTTAACCCCAAGGTTAAAACCGGAATTATTATTTATCCCCCTCTTGCAATGTATAAGATTATCCCGATTATACAAGACAATTTTAAAAGTTCGACTATGAATCTTGTTTTAACAAAGACTGATTTAGAAAACGTTAAAGAATATCTACGACAGCAGGAAATTATAAAAAAATATCACGAGGGTAAAACAAACCACCGCGGTATCACTGAATGTTATCTCTCTTTATCTTCAAGATATTACTGGCCTAAAATGAAAGAAAGCATCGCGAAATATATAAATGAATGCAGTATTTGCGGCCAAGCCAAATATGACCGAAATCCGATTAAACAGAGATTTTCAATTGTACCCCCACCTTCAAAGCCTTTCCAAATAGTACATCTTGATCTTTTTACAGCGCAAAATGAAAAATACCTTACAATAGTAGATGCCTTTTCAAAGTATTCGCAAGCATATCACCTGAGAGATAGTACTGCTTTGAGTGTCGTACAAGCTTTCCTAGTATTCTGTACTCATCATGGCGTCCCTTTGACTATTGTCACCGATGGAGGCCCCGAATTTACAAATCAGATCTTCTCAGAATTTTCTCGAATTCACAAAATACAACACCACAAAATATTAGCTCATTCTCCAAAAGATAATGGTATTGTAGAGAGATTTCATTCTACTATCCTTTAGCATCTTAGAATATTAAAGCTCGAGAAGCGAAGTGAACCAGCAATTAATTTAATGCCCTATGAAATTTTAGCTTATAATAGTTCAATTCATAGTTTCACTAAGTGTAGACCTTTAGACTTGATAACTGGACATTTTGACCCACGTGACCCAATAGATATCGACATATCAGAGCATTTACTCCAGCAATATTCACAGGATCACAAGAAACGTATGAACCAAGTATATGACTTAATAAATGAGACTTCTTTACATGACCGAACCCAATTAACTGAAAATAGGAATAAAGACCGTGAGCCTGAAAAAGAATATTGTCCTGACGAGCAAGTGTTTATTCGTAATCCTTTAGCATCCCGACAAAAATTAGCTCCTCGTTTTACCCAGGACACTGTCCTTGCTGACCTTCCTATCCATATTTATACAAAGAAAAAGCGAAATCCTATTGCTAAGTCACGCCTTAAGCGAAGTCCTAAAGACCCCACCTTGTTACAGGATTCCAATTTTGTTGACCATCCTTCTACATAAGACTCAAGGACAAGATGTGACAATTGAATCATTGGACAATGGACCCGGACTACTTCCATTCAAACTAGGGCCCGCTAAGATTATTTCTCACTATCATTCCTTTTTGAATTACATAAATTTAGATAATTTACAATCCCAGATAGAATTAGTTGAAGTTCAAATTGGCAATTTGAGTACGCAGTTAAGTAATAAGACGTTATCTATGTTTAATCCTCATGTAGAACATTTAAAAGGTAAACTTATGAAAATACATGACCAGCTTCGTACTTTTCAATTTCATCGCAGTAAAAGGGGACTCATTAACGGCCTTGGATCTATAATTAAATCTATATCTGGTAATTTAGATTATACTGATGCAATTAAATATGAAAATGCTATTAATTTGTTACAAGAAAACGATGCAACATTAGAGTCTGAAATTAATACCCGAATAAGTTTAAATAAAGAGTAGATTACGCAAAGTTCCAAAGTTATAGAAGACATTATATTGAATCAAGAATCAATTGATAAATATGTAAAATTAATTTTAGATAAAAATAATCAGTTAGAAGCTGATTTAATTGAGTATGCTCATCTAGCTCAGCATCTCTTTATTCTATCGGATTATTATCCGATAAATCTTCTATATTTAGAAGATTTATCTGAGGAATTATTTAGCTTAGGAAATACATTATCGTTTATACGTGCATCGAGCACTCCTTATTCGTTAATCGATTTAGAAGAGGTTAAGCATATATTAGATAAGTTAAGGGTTTTATATTCAAAAGATGAAATCCTTGATATAGATTTTAGGAATTTTTATGAAATAATTAAGTTAGGGTATTTTTATTTAGACAGGCAAATAGTAATTGTAATAAAAGTCCCAATTATTGTATCCTACACCTATGACCTTTATAAATTAGCCGTTGTCCCAAATAAGAACCATAAAGTCCTTATTCCCACCTCTCCATATTTGGCAATATCTGGAAAAGACTCTAGGTACATAGAGACAGAATGTCCGAAGTTAAATTCATGGTTTCTCTGCAACTCAAAACCAGATTATAAGAAAGATAAATACGATTGTATCCAGCAGCTGATCACTCAACAGGAGCTCAACCAGTCCTGTCCCTTAACTTCAGTCGTCCTACAAAATGAAGCATTAGAACAACTTGATGATAAGCATTATACAATGAGCTTTCCAACTTTAACGAAAGTTAAATTATTCTGTGGACAAGAACAATATAGGACACTACAAGGCAGCTATGTAGCAGTCATTCCACTTAACTGTTACCTCAAGGCACCAGGATTTACCATTACTAATATGAATAATCGTATAAAAGGTCACATTGTCAAGATATTGGAAATACCGCAATATATCGAATCCAAGAATATTGAACAGCCAACATTAAACCTGGCCTCTACAGACCTCAACAGCTTTCATAGTCTTAACACGAAGATGTCTATGCAGCCTCCAGTACATCTTAATCAAGACAAGGATATAAGTCTATATCATACTACTATACCTTTATATGTAGCATTGATAGTAATGATTATTTTAATTGGCATCGTGACATATAAGCGAATGGGAATTAAACCTGAAACAAAAGGACATCCTGAAAAAGAACAAGTTCCTAAAAACCCCAGTCAAGTAAAAGTGAATCCCGGACATATTTCATCAGCAACTCTCTCACACAAAGTTCTCGAATAGTTGCTGATTTTAGGAGGGAGGTGTTACGTAGCCCTATACCATAGAATCTACATTTCGCAATATATAAAGAATAACACGTCCCTAACGTTACATGGTGTCAGCGGAATTCGTATGTCGCAACTTACACGAGTTACACGAGCCTCACGTTGCATAGTGTCAGCAATTGGTGCCTCTTCGAGCCTTATTATTTCCATATTCTAGGTGCATTCAATTTCCTTACTTCGGGTTGTTTAGCCGTATTTTAATTATAGTTTAAATTGTAATTTTATTTTTAATAAATTAGTTTAAAACATTTGGTTTTTTTTGAAACCTTCGGCTGTGGCCTTCGTAATTCATGCACCCTTTTTTTATTTATTTTTTTATGGTCGAAAGACCTGCGCCATAGAGACAATGGATTCGTCCATAAAGGGACTAACAGTACAGAACAGAATCCTCAAATGAAGTGGTACAATGTATTAACTCATTCTATAAAATGAGGTGGGACATACAAACACTTCAATTTCGTTTGTCCTACCCATCACTAGAATAATAAGTAATAACAGTACAAAGTACAAACCGACCGTCGCGTCGTTCCGTTTCACCAATCAATTCAGCCAAACAAAATTAATCTCAGTCACCACATATAGATAAATATAGGAAAATTGCATTCAAACTGCACAGTTCAGTGGTAATCTTGTGATACTCTGTAATTGGTATTGATTTTTTATATGTTACTTTACTATGGCTTTAACAGGAAGAGTTCTTTAATAATAAAGCAATTTATGATATTTCATCATATCCACTTCTCTGATAATATGATTTAAAAGGTTTTTCACGTAGCATGGGGCAAACGGACAGGAGATGTTGTGATACCGCCGCACATAGACACTTTGCTAGAGCGCTCGGAAGTGCTTTGCCGGGCATTAAAGAATTTGTACGCTCTTTTCTTGAAAGATCCTAAGTCGAATTGGTTCGGAAATACATCGGTGGGTAGCCGGTTTAGCAGCAGCAGCCTTAAAAAACGACCAGTTGTTGAAAATTATTGTTTGTGAATGTCACATCGTTTATTGATTTAATTTGTTTGGTTTTTGAAAAGGTAGTATCTTAAAAAGGTCAAAATCACTTTCTTATAGACTCTATAATATAGACAGACATATTTCGAAGCACAGGAAAAGAAACACATAATAATTTGAAACATCATTTATTTTATAAAAATAAATGTTTTGACGACAAATAGTTATAATATTCGGGGTCCTTATGAGTTCTACTCCCGTCGGAGTACCGACCGGAAATGTTTCAAGACATTGTAAAAAATTCAGATTTTACAAAATTACTTTGTATCTTAAAACATTAACAACATTACATTTTCACATCTACATATTCTAATAACGGTCGATCACCTCATTTTAACATTGGCGTTTTATGAAAATAATACTATAAATATATTACATTAAGAAAGCCATTTTATACATGAATGTTATATATTAAAAATAAAAATATTTCAAATTAAAAAATGCGGGTTTTATTTCCAATAATGTGCAATTCATTTTGATACATATTTTTTTAAGGTTTCATAACATTTACGTATAAAATGGACGTCTAGGCCGGTGAAATTTTAAATTTTGAAATCACTTTAGGCTTTCCACATGATTACGGACTAGGTATATCACATTAATCTCCAGAAATTAAATTTATAATGGTGATCATACACAATCTACATTATTATAATAGATTCTATTTTAAAATAAACTCTATGGACTATAATCCACGTAATTAAGAAAAAAATGCCACAGAACATATATTAGAAACGATATTGTCCACGTATGAACTTATATGCTATGGAAATAAGGATTAAATTTCATAAAACTAATAAGTGTCAGTCACTTTGTATCTAAACGATATAAAAATATGCGAAAATAAATTTTAAAGTACTTATACATAAAGGAACAATTTTTGGAATAAATAATTTTACAGTCGCGACACAAAGGACATCGTTTGAAATAAAAAAAATTTGCACAGGTATTAAAAAAAATTTAATTATATTTTAATATGGATGCCCTTTTGAAAAATGTCAAATAAAGTGACTAGATACTTTACAGATTACAGTTATACCGTATACACATAGCTAACGAAGAAAGCTCATTCGATATCTACGTACAAAATCTAAATGCAATAAATATCACGAAATGCAAAATACTAATCATCTCATAGTTTAATCATTATAAAATGGGGCAATTGTTTCCAAGTATATATGTTCTAAAAACAATCATATTTTCAAGTTAAGTTTTATGTAGCAAAGCATTAAACGCGCTGTTTCTGGTAGTTATTATTGTGAGTTTTGAAATTTTGAAACAGATTGTTAGCTTCTCAGTGTTTAGAACCCTGTGCGTAGTAATATTGGTTTTTGGCAGCTTGACTTTTGACAAGTATAGTCTGCTATTCGAGTGACATATTCGTGCTTTTTAGTTACACACAAATACGATATTATGATAGCTTCCATTTTTTTTAAGGGTTACTGAATCTGTTTCATTTCAGGTTTCTATTCAAATATTTTTTATTATGGCCTTCAAATTACTGAAAGCAAACGACAAAAATGCAAAGCTCATAAAATAATCATACCCTGGTAGCAAATTGTTGATCGCCGTATCGCTATGAAGGGTCAGTTTCGTGCGGATCCGGGGGCTGTTGGGGGATATAATTCCATCTCGCCTTGACCTCTGTGGGGGGATTTGTGGGGGAATTCGCAGGATTTGTTGGGGTGACCGCCGCTCGTCTCGCCCTCACGACCGCTAGATGGCGCTGAATGTAGTGTTCGTGGGGCGCGAGGGAGGCGGCGCGGGTGAGACATTCCTCGGCGATAGCGAGCTTTCCTCTTTCAACCGCGACGACGCAGAGATTGTGTAAGGCTTGCACGTTGTCCGGCTCAAGTTCGAGGATGCGGCGGTAGCACTGTTGCAAGTCCAGATATTTTATTAAATAAAACAAAATATAATATGTTTATTATGGAATAGAAGATACAGGTATCACTTATCATTAAAGTTGAATCGGTAGTCAACCCTACTCATCAGCAAAGAAGACAGAGGGCCAAGAGAAAAAGCCGGGGTAGAAAACTCTCGGTACTCTTTTAAAAATTTTATCTTTATATGTACACAGAGTGAGGTCACATGACATTGTGTATCTTATGTACCTATTTAATAAAATATTTTATTGGTAATATCGCCATTATCGTATTGGCTTAGTATGGAAGGGAGAGTGTATGTATTTTTGTGCATGATTAAATAATTTTTCGTCTGTCTTTTGATAATCCAGTTTGGTAATTTTTGTTGTTCAAACAATTATGCTATAAAACAATATCTATTTTGTAATTTACCTTTTTATCTGAAATATAATTGAATGATTCTAAAATGTTCAGAAGACATATTAATTAAAAAAAATTTTAAAAATATTGACATCAATTTTTTCATTTTTATTTGGTTGTACACTTAGGACAGGCGGTAATTTTGATTGTTTTTTTTTGTAGTTAGCGTTATGAGTCGAATTATCCTTACATTAAACCCTAATAATAAAAGATATTATTGGATACTTACACTTTCCGCGGCATCAAGATCTTTAACAGAATTAATATAAATATCTCCCAAAAGCACGAGCGCCTTCACATGATCTGGGTGATGCCTGACGAGTTGCTTCAGAAACGGCGCAGCTTCTAAAGGCCGACGCCGATCGGCGAGCAACAAGGCGAGGTTAAAGAGCGCGGATCGGAAGTCGGGTTTTAGGTGAACAGCTGCGCGGAACCAGCGTTCGGCGCATTCTGCGTCACCTTCGTCCATACAGACCATGCCTAGGTTGAAATGCACGCGCTCGTTTGTAGCTGAAAGAATCATAAGTGTATCAATATCAATATTTATTTATATAATTAATCATATAATGTAGGTAAACATACTGCAATATGAAAGTTATACTCACAATCTTTGTCAAGTAACTTCAGCAAACGTGATCTCGCGAGATGTCTCAAATCGGCGGCGCCAAGTTCTTGAAGCAAGATGGCAGAGTTCAATAACGCTTGTTCGTGTTCCGGCTCAAGTTCCAAGGCCTTGTCGAGGTAGGCCAAGGCTTGGGAAGCTTTGCCTTGCTCTAGGAGGACTACGCCTAACTGGAATTTGGATGAATATATTACTTCTAGAGAGGTTCATATTAACTGAGTATTTTTGTACTATTACTTTATATTTTTCTAGTCCGAATTCGAACTGCGCCCCTACCCAGTAATTTATAATTGTTTGAATTCAAAGTAGATTTTTTTGTACGAGTACGAGTTTGCGTCATCCGAAATTACATAGTACTGATGTTATATCGGGTCGCGCCGATAGGTAATCATTATAGATAAAATGTCTATGACAATTATTAACAATGAAACACATTTTTTTAAGCTCTTCATTTTTTTTAACACATTTTTTTTAATAGAACAGATGTCAAACGGGCAAGATGCTCATCTGATGTTATTAGTGATACCTCCCATGGAAAATCACAATGTCAGAAGGAAGTAGAAGGAATTGGTACGCTCTATTCTTGTAGGACCCTAAGTTGAATTGCTTCGGAAATACTTCAGTGGGCAACTGGTTCCACAAAGTGGTGGTGCGCAAAAACTGCCATAAAAAGTTGTGGAACCCATATTTTGCACAAACGTTAATAATAAAATGATATTTTCTTAGCAAAATATAAGTGTTTCAATGCATTATGTTATATTTTATAGGAATTCAATACTTACATTATAATAAATATCCGGATTCCCGCTATCATACAACAGCGCCCTTTCGTACACTTCCTGTGCTTCCTTAGTCCTGTTCAGCTTAATCAGTATATCCCCTCTATTTATGTACGCTTGAGTGTAATCGGCTCTCATGCTAATCGCTTGTCTATACAACATATCCGCTTCTTCCAATCGAGTGGCGTTCTTTGATATCAAATTCGCCAGATTCAGGAAGACATTTAGATGATTGGGAGCAATTCTTGCTTGGTACGATTCCCCTGGTTTCGCTTTCGGAAGGAGAGATTTCGCCTGTACGTAAGCATCTTCAGCATCTTGGTACCTCCCGAGGTGGTTAAATGTTCTGCCGACGTTGATGTGAGCTCCGACGTCATCTGGCTGGACGTTGACGGCTGTTTTGAAGAACTCTAACGCTTCCCCATATCTCCCGTCAGCCTCTAAGGCGTGGCCTACATTGTTGTAAAGTTTTGCGTTGTTACGGTTAACCTGAAAGAGGGCTTCGTAAATAAATTGGTAAGGGGTTGTAAAGTCATCGGTGGGAATTATTTCTTAAATTCCGCAATTAATCGAGTGGCCTCTATGATGTCAAACTCAGAATAACTTTATTCATATAGATAACTAAGTACACTTATGAACGTCAACAAATGTTAAATTGATTCTAAAATTACATTTGCTACCAGTTCGCAAGTCAAGGGCGTAGAGCGGGCAAGAACTGGAAGAAATTCTCCGCCACTCTTTCTAATCGCCATGTTTTGAGTCAAATTGTTTGAACTGGAGAATATCAATCCAATTAGGATCATTTAAGTAATCGTCAAATTTTATAAAGATTTTATTATTAATTTACGGTTAATCAATAAGTGTTTTGTTTTACTAAATTTTGTATTTTAACATATTTAAAGTATAAAAGGCGTTCCACTGTATATATATATAATGGAATGATATTTCATTAATTTGAATTTGACGCGTCGGAGTGACACGCGATAAAATGGCGGATGACGTGTAAATTAATTTAGTGGATTATAGTGTAAAAAGATAGATAAGTGGACATTAAATGTCGTTTCTTTGTATTTCAGAGAAACAATTTTGTGTTTTCATTTAGAAAAAATCCATAATAATATTCCTTTATAAAACGACATTTTTGTTAACTAAAAGAAGATGGACCGGCTGCAATTTGAGTTCACGATGATGGCCTCAATCGATGGCAAATCTAATATATTGGCCATAACTTCAATATTGACAGAAGAAGGAAAATGTTATGTTTTACCTGATGAATTGAAGCCGGTGATTCATCATACATATATAGTTAAATTGAACACTTTTTCAAAAATAAAAAAATAGTATAAAGAAAAGGCACCAAAGCAGAAAGATATGGGTAAAATTAGATGAAGATCTAAAGAAAACATATATAGATGAGGAAGGTAATATGCAATTTTTAGATCAATATTTAGAGGAAATGAGCACAAAACAACCAAGAGGCAATGATGATAATTTGCAACATATCCTGGAAAAATTAATAGAATCTACAACAAAAAAGAAAATCAACATAATTTAAAACATGTTTCAGAGAAATTTATTATCGAAAAATTCACAAGTAAGAATCCTAATGCAGTGCAATGGATAGAGAATTTTGAAAAAGAGTGTGAGCGTTTTAATATAACAAAAGATGAAACAAAAATAGATATATTGAGATTATTTTTAGAAAACTCCAGTTTGGATTGGTATAGCTCGATGGTAATTAAACTATCAGTAAATTCTGAATGGAATGAATGGAAAGACAAATTTTTAGAAACTTTTAGGAACCAAGGGTGGGATGTAGTCACAACTGCTTTCACATTCAAGTATAAAGAAGGGCTGTTAATTGATTATGCTATAAAAAAAGAACGGCTTATACTAGATATAAATAAATCGATAGATTCCAGAACAATGATAGATCTAATTGCAACTGGTTTACCTAGTTTTATCTTGAATAAGTTAAACAGGGACGAACTCAACAACACTACTGATTTGTTCAACGAGATAAGAAAATATGAATGTATGATTTTCAAGAAAAACTCAACTATAACAAAGAATATATATTCTTATAAAAATAAAATTAATGAGAAGAAGCCATGTAAGACTTGTGAATCTTTGGACAAAGGAATTAGATATCATCCGGAGGAGTTATGTTGGTTCAAGAAAAATAAAAATGAATCTGAAAAGGTTTTTAAAGCCAAAAATGTAAATAATAATTCGATTATTGAAGTAGATATGAATACTGAGAAAAAAACGAGTAAGTACACCATTAATCAAAATCAAGCTATTATTAGAAAATAAACTAGAAGTGAGCGGTGTTTATGATTCAGGCTCACAGATCTCTTTAATAAATTCAAGATTGATTAAAGTAAAAGAAAAAAAAAGACAATGTGAATATAACATATATGAAAACGGTTAATGGTGTGAAGAAGACAGATGGCTTGATAACAATAAAAATAAAAATCTTTGATTTAGAAGAAGAGGTCGATATATATATAGTAGAAAATGAAGATTTTGAGGATTTTATAATCGGATTGGATATGATAAAGAAGTTCAAATTAATCCAAAATGAGGACTTGCAGATAGAACAAAGGAAAATAGACAGGATGTCTAAAGATAACAGAAATGAAGATAAGAATATAAAAATATATGCAATAAATTTCAATGAACACATAGAAACAGAGGAATTTGTTAGTAAGACAGATCATTTAGATAAAGAAAAGAAAATTGAGATAGAAGAAGTTATAAATAAATATAAAACTATTTTTGCTAGGGACAAGTATGATATAGGATCAGTTAAAGATTATGAAGCTCACATAGATTTACTTGTAAATACATACTGTAGTAAAAGACCATACAGATGTACGATAGAAGATAAATTAGAAATCGAAGAACAAATATCCAGATTACTAAAGAATAATTTAATAGAAGAATCTTACAGTCCTTTTGCTGCGCCAGTGACATTAGCATTTAAAAAAGGTGAAAATAGAAAATCTCGATTATGTATAGATTTTAGAGAACTTAACAAAATTGTTGTACCACAAGCTCAACCTTTCCCATTAATAGATGATTTAATTATTAAGACAAGAAATTGTAAGTATTTTACTACTCTTGATATAAACTCAGCATTTTGGGCCATACCACTACGGGTGGAAGATAGATATAAAACAGGATTTGTCACACAAGATGGCCATTTTCAGTGGACCTGCCTTCCTTTTGGTTTAAAAACATCACCAGCAATTTTCCAGAGAGTTTTAAGTAATATTCTGAGAAAGCACAATCTCACAGGATACTCTGTAAATTATATTGATGACATTTTAATCTACTCCTCTACTTTTGAGGACCATATAAGACACATAAAAAAATGTATTAGAGGCAATAATAAAAGAAGGCTTTAGATTGAAGTTTATGAAGTGTACCTTTGCCTCAGACTCAGTAAAGTATCTTGGCCATGTAATTCAAAACAACTCGGTAAGACCGTTAAAAGATAATTTGATTTCGATAAAACATTTTCCAACTCCGAAGACACAAAAGAATATCAGACAATTTTTGGGAAAAATTAACTTTTACCATGAATACATACCAAGGAGCGCAATTATCTTAGATCCATTACATAAATTATTAAGAAAAAACGAAAAGTTTGTGTGGTCAGAGAAGTGTGAAGAATCATTTAATCAAATAAAGAGATATTTATGTTCTCAACCGGTATTGGAAATATATGACAAAGACTTACCAATAAAAATCTTTACAGATGCATCCTTAGAGGGTATCGGAGCAATATTAAAACAAACACAACTGGACGGTAATGACAAACCAGTAGCATATTTTTCAAAAAAACTGAATGAATCTCAAAAAACGGAAAAAGCTATATACTTAGAATGTTTTGCTATGAAAGAAGCAGTCAAATACTGGCAACACTGGCTCATTGGAAAACAATTCACTATTTACTCAGACCACAAACCTTTAGAAAACATGAACATTAAATGCAGGACAGACGAAGAATTGGGTGATCTCACATACTACCTGTCTCAATACGACTTTACGGTAAAATATATACCTGGTAAAGAAAATGTAGAAGCAGACTGTTTAAGCCGAAATCCTGTATTAGAATCAGAAGATAACAAAGAGGAATTATTGAAAATAGTTAATTTAATACAAATAAGGGATATAGTTGAAGATCAAGAGCGAAAATGAAACAATAGAAGAAAAATAAAGAAAATCTAATACAAAAAAATACAATATATTATAAGAAAATAAAGAAACATGAAAAGATTATCCTCTCAGAAGAATTTAGTAAGAAACTTATCAAAAAGGTGCATGAAGATTTATGCCATATTGGGATCAGACAATTGCAGAAAAAATTAAGTCCAATATACACAGCTAAAAAACCTAACAAAGAATATCATAAATATTTGTAAAACATGTGAAATATGCATAAAAAATAAATCAAGAGGTCAAGGAAAATTTGGATTAATGTCACAACTGGGACCAGCAACAAAACCATTTGAGATAATGTCAATGGATACTATAGGTGGCTTTGGAGGATCTAGATCAACAAAAAAAGTACCTACACCTTTTAGTAGACCATTATACAAGATATGCATTTATTGTGACGTCAAAAAACACAGAATGCAAGTGATTTTATAAAACTAACAAAGAATGTACTAGAAACAGATGAGATTGGAATAATTTTGACAGATCAATATCCAGGCATCAATTCAAGAGAATTTAAGCAATATCTACATGAAAATAATGTTAAATTTATTTTTTACAGCTGTGAATACACCATTCTCAAATGGCTTGAATGAAAGGTTAAATCAAACAATAGTTAATAAAATAAGATGTAGAATAAATGAGAAAAATAATAAGAGAACATGGACAACAGTGGCAAGAGAATGTGTAGAGAAATATAATGAAACAGAACACTCCGTTACAGGTTTTGCACCAAAATATTTACTGGATGGTACAAATGTCAGCATTCTACCAAATGAATTAAAAATAATAGAAGGAGAAGACAAGTGGATTGCTGATAAAAGATTGGCATTAGAAAATACAATAAAATCCCACAAGTACAATAAGAAAATATTTGATAGAAAAAGAAAAATGCAAGAGTTTAATATAGGCGACAGTGTATATGTTGAGAATGGAAATAGACTGAATAGAAAGAAATTAGACGAATTAAAAATAGGTCCTTTTTAAGATAGTAGGGAAAATATCGAACTCCATTTATAGGATTGACACTGGTAACAGAAAAACAGAATCAACTTTGTTCCACATAACAAAATTACAACCGGTTACAACAGAATCTGAAGAAGATGAAATATAAGGAAAACGAATATGAAGATAGCTATTAAGTATAGTGTGTAGATATATTATTCAGAATTTTTTCTCTTAGGGGGAGATGTAATGGAATGATATTTCATTAATTTGAATTTGACGCGTCGGAGTGACACGCGATAAAATGGCGGATGACGTGTAAATTAATTTAGTGGATTATAGTGTAAAAAGATAGATAAGTGGACATTAAATGTCGTTTCTTTGTATTTCAGAGAAACAATTTTGTGTTTTCATTTAGAAAAAATCCATAATAATATTCCTTTATATATATAATACTTATTTTGTACATAGAGCAGTAGGATTAGTAGAAGCAATGGTAATTTCTTATATAATTTCGAAGGAATGAAATTTTAGAAACAATTTTTTGACTTCAATATTTTAATACATTTTGGAGTCGGTGTAATTTTTGTACACGCCTTCTTCTGTTTTTGAAGGACGTTATGAGACGTTATGCTATTCATGGCACAGTTACGGACATTATTTACAACCATGCTTATGCATACCTTAAGGCCAGATGCAAAAATGGTGTATTCAGTCTTCCAATCCCAATTCCGTACGTATGTTTTGGCACTGAAGGCAAGTAAGAGAAATATAAGCGTAGAAGCAGCCAGCATAGCTCTCTTCTTGGCTAGAAGTCTCCATCCGTGCGCGATGATAAGACACCATCCCATGGAAGGCATATAAAGAACTCGTTCTGCCACCACAAATCCTACTGGGAAGAACAGGTTTGAGGCCGGCAGGAATGGAAGGACCAGTAATGCAAGACCCTGAAAAGAATAATAGACAGGATAAAACACTACGTAAAACTTATTGGATGGGCGTGATTCTCTCTTTCTTTAAGAACTTTTATCTCAAGGATGTAGAAATCTACATACAACTTTTATGTAGTTTTCAATTCTTAGTTTAGGCTTTTTGTACAAATTACTTAAAAATAAAAAGTGATTGGTTTGAAGAAAACTATAATACTTAGTGGTAAATAATAATTGATGTATTTAAGCTTTATTTGAATAAAGAATAATAAATACATATGGATAACATAGAAATTGGCGCGCACATTATTAAGATGACAAGTACAAAAGATGGCAAGTTAAAATGTAAGAAAAAATTTAATTATTGTGGCAATGGTCGCGTCCGTGAACAATTATTATGAAACACCGAAAGTGAAATAATTCTTACATTCAGTTGTCATGTGTATTAATTACTTAAAGCCAAAATTTTGTGACCCAAAATCATATATCTACTACATAGTACTTTTTAATAGAACTTTATTATTATTATGTATATAACAACTTTCTGTCTATTGGATTTGGAGAAACTATCCAATATATTTTTAAAGGACTTCAAAACTGTTAACTGAGAAGTTTTTAATTTTTTATTGATTTTAGTTTTAAAGAACTACCCTCAATTGTATTTCACTTAAAATAAAGAGCTTCTCAATTCTGAAATTATGTGGTGCCAGTGGGTTTTATAGTTTTAATGAGATTTCTTTAATCTCTACTTCTAATCGGTATTTTATATTTTTTTTAGTGATGATCATTATGTTTATTTATCTATTTGATTAATTTTTTACAATACATATGTTTTTTATAAATATTATAAATGACAAATTTCTACTACTTGCAACAATTACGTACCATAGATAAAGCCGATGAGCGCGTGCGCAAAGCGTGTATCCCTCCCGCAACTAGTGACGTGCCAAGTGCTAGTGTGGCTATGTTTCTCGGATCCCGCCACGACTTGAGAAGAGTCACTGTACCCATAGTCCAATCGCAGCAGAGTGCTTCAGGTAAGGTCAGAAGCCATGCATTCAACGCTGGTAGATATGCAAATGTCAGATGCCTGGAATTTATAAAGATTTCCTCTTTAAATGTTATTGTTTTATAAAATATAATGAAGTGTTTGTTTAAAAGTAGTTTTTTTTTTCACTTAGGGATGATTAAAAGATAACTTTTTTTACAATTCATTATATAGGTGTTCCAAAAAAGAGTGTCAAGCGGTGGTCTAGAGATAGAGCACCCTTAGAGGAACGATTTTTTGTAGTTTAAAAGTTCTAATTTTTTTCTGTTTTTGGTGAATTTCTGCTTTTCAGATAATATTTGGGTGTATCGTTGAAAATAACGAAGATAAATAATGGTTTCTCTGTTTATTACTTAGCTTAAACACATGCAAATATTTTTTCAAAAAAATATTTATCACAATATTATTAAAGAAATAGGAAACAAAAATTGAAGGCATTTTAAAAATATTAGAAGAATTATATTTAAATTTAAACGTATTTTAGTTTATAAGCTTTCATTTCGTAACATTTCATATTGGTTTTTTTTAGGTCTTGTTACATACCTAAAATATTTTTCAATACATCAAACCAAAAAAAAAATCATATTTCGAGTACATTTAAGCAATCGTGGTTAGCGAAGGACAGTTTCATATTGTTCTTAATCAGAGTAGAAAAAGTAAAATCTAAATTTTAATTTTAAAAAATCTCTAAATTTTATTAAGATACTAGAGTAGAGTTTTATTTTTTAGAACAGCGGGCAAACGGGCAGGAGGCTCACCTAATACCGCCGCCCATGGACACTCAATTCCAGAGGACTCACGAGTGCGTTGCCGGCCTTTTAAGAATTTGTATGCTCTTAGTGCTTCCCAGCAGGGCGGAAATTTGACTCTTATTAAAATGTGTTAAATTATTTGACATGTGAATTACTTACTGCCTATCTTTAACAATTTACAAGTAATTTTCTTCTAAAACCAATGAACCATACCAATGTTATGAAAATAAGTGTAGAGGTTCCATGTGCCTCGTACGAATTCGAATTACCTGCATAATTCACCAATGTTTCGGGTTTTATCTAACTATGACACTAATTATCAGGATATTGATATTTTCCACCTCGCCAAAGAAGACGTGAGAAAATATTTGAAGAGGCGGGAAGACTCTAATTTAGTTAAGGTAGTGATATGAAATATTTAGTATTATTTGTTGTTTTAAATGTTAAATTTCAGTTTTCTTTATATGGTTTTGTCTATTGATGTGCTTATTTGTTTTATTTTTCGTATATAATATTGTTTATCTATGTAATCTGTTTTGGCTTTCTGTACTGTCTAAATGTTTGTTTTATAATATTATGTATGTTAGCTGTAAGATTACTTATAATTAAATAAATATTTTTTTTTAATTTTCTTTAAAGGCTACGGTGGGGCACAAAAATGTTGGGATACACTGTATTAGAGTATCACGATCGATAAACAACCACAATCAATAGAGTCAGCAAGTTGAATAAACAACATCATGTCTACAAAGGAATTTATTTTACAGCTTTTCCATATTAATTTACTTTAATTATCGGGCGCATAAAAGAATACTCGAAACTCGGTTTAAATATTTTCCTTTATACGAGGAACGAAATGTCCCAAATATTTCAACGCAGCGATTTTGAAGGTATGTTTGATATAGAGACTTTAATTATTAATACACAATGTAATTTTTTTAAAGGTTGTTTTATTTACGACGGCGTACCGTAGATACTTATTAAGCCTGGCCTAGCGGTCTTATTAAGTAGCAGCTAGGTGAGGGGTACCGGGTTCGATTCCCGGTTCGAGGGCAAGTAATTTAATTTAATTTGTTCTCGGCCTTTGGCCTTTGTGCGGTACCGGGCAAGTGCCTAAACCGTACATGGAGGACACGGTCGAATTTCTAAAGACAAGCACGAATTATAAAAAATCCTATACTTGACGCTGGCTAATGCACAAATCGTGCCAGAGCCATAAAAAAAAGTGTGATTGACATTTTATGATTCGAGTCTTGAAGAAAAAATAAAACACTAAAATTGTGGTAATAAAATTCGTATTTTGTACTGTTTCTCCAATTAAGCATAACTGAAATACGTTTTCAGAAAAATGTTACTTTACAAAATATATTATTATAACAAAATATAGCTTAGAACAGAAGTTCTAGTTTCTAACTTATAATGCAAAATTTTTAATTCAAAATGTAAATAAAATAGTTTGAAAAAGATGTTTACCTAGCTGGTGGAAGAGCAGCACCCGCAGGGTTGTCAAATCTGGTAAAGACAGGTAGTTGAGCGCCCATCACGTGAAGCCTGGCTGCTAGCAGAGCGAGTGTCGCAAAGCATACGGTTGTGATTCTTCTAGCAGCTTCGCCGCATGCGCAGCCCCAGCCACCTTTGCCCCAGACCTCCAGCCAATTTTGGCCAGTAGTCGATCGGCGCTGAGAGATTAGGAAATGAAATTATATGCTATATAAAAAACAAACACCAAAACTTTTTATGGGGCGATTTTTTTTAATTATTAGCCATTTTTAAAGTACAGTTGACAGTCGTACTTTTGCATATATATAGCATGGTAAACATCATGGTATATTCACTGAATGAAATCACTGAATACAGATTTATTTTAAGCTTTTTCTCTCACTAATATCATACCGATATAGTTTGGATTAAATAGGCTCCAAATCTGACGGAGCCATTTGAAAAATTCTTTCACCATTAGAATCCTGCATTACCCTGAAGAATAGGCTATAAAATATTTTGTGGATATTGAATATTTTTTAGGCGCATGAATACGGTAATGTAACTTGAGGTGTGAAATAATGCCAATAAAATACCTATATCGCATGCTATTATAATGTAAATGTCATGACACTGTATTATTTTTTGTTAAGTCATAATATCCCATCGAAACATGAGACTATAAGAAGAATTCTCAGGCCACTTTATCATCAGCCGCGAACACATTTGTTGACTTAAACGTAATAATAATGTTCTTTTTCTAATATTTCGTGAATCTTATTTCCAATTGAAATAACATATTTTTGTTTTTTTAAACAGCCAATAAGCCAGTTCTAACAGTACAGTCGTTTTATAGAAGATATGCTTTACTGTTGGAGTGTTAGCCTAGTGGCTTAAGCGTGACTGTGACTCTCATCTCTGAGGTCGTAGGTTCGATTCCCGGCTGTGCACCAATTGACTTTCTTTCTATGTGCGCATTTAACATTTAACATTCGCTTAAACGGTGCAGGAAAACATCGTGAGAAAACCGGCTTGCAAACCCAAAAAGTCGAAAGTGTACGTCAGGAATAGGAGACTGATCCTGACTGACCTTGCCTATTAGATTGACAAATGATCATAAAACAGATTCAGAAATCTGAGGCCCCGACCTGAAAAGGTTGTGGCGCTATTTATTTTATTTTATGCCTTACTGTTACATAACACAACGCCCCAACGTTCGTCAATAATACAGAATGCAATGACGATGAACTGCAGATTCATAACATACCTTCTGTGCTACAAAGAGCTCGTAAACAACACAAACAGCTGTGACAGTGATGCCCTGCTCTTTGCACAGCATTGCCACTCCCACGCACGCCGTACACGCAGCCACATACCGCCAGTCTGTAATTACAATAGATATTCAATAGTATAGAGTGGTAATAAAATATTTAATTGATATACTAATACAATATTATTTATTGTAACTCAAACTCAAAATAAAATTATTCATGTAGGTAACCAAGTACACTGTTGGACGTCAACAGAAAAGATTTCAAATTAATTCTGATTCAGATTTCGAATTAACATTTACTACCAGTTCGCAAGTCAAGGGCGTAGAGCGGGCAAGAAGAACTGGCAAGAAACTCTTCGCCACTCTTTTTAATCGCCAAGTTTTGAGTCATACAAATATTTGAACTGAAGTAAAACAATAGCAACAATTAGGATCATTTAAATAATCGTCAAATTTATAAAAAGCTTTATTGATTAATTTACGTTTAACGAGAGTTTTGAATTTATTAAGTTATATGTTTGACCTATACGTGTCTTTATTATGTTCACTAGGTAAAATTGATTCATTATCGAATTGAAATACGCTTACATATCACGATACCGTGTAACGCGCTCATAATGTTGTTCCGGCCGGTAATATCTTCACTCATAAATTCTTATTCCATTTGTTTTAAAATATGTATAAATCATATTCATGCATTTGTCTGAATGAAATTTATTAATTAAAGCAATAAAAAAACAAAGATGTTACTGATTGTTATTCAAGACTACAAAAATAAATAAATATAAAAAACATATTCTTTTTATACAGCAAACAAAAACAGCCTTAAATACGATATTTAAATATTAACTGTGCTAAAATGTACGTTTTTATAAGGTATTCATTTGTTTTCATGCTCCCGTAAGAACATAAGCTAAGTGGCAAATTGAGTCAGAATAATAAAGGACCTAGGCCGGCCCAGATTCAAATGAATAGAGAAAAATATAGTCATTAAAACATTTGGAACAATGAAACTTAAAACAATGAAATTTTTATGAAAAGTAGCAATTTTGCCGTTACGAAAACAATAAGAAAAGTGAGAGAAACTTCCTGTTTAAAATAGGCTTTGGAGTTTGCGACCCGAGGTCAATAGATGTTTAGTTTTTTGTGACAAGGTCAGCCCACAAATTTCACAATTGACGAATTTACCCGAATACACTATGAAACTGCCAGATAATAATCAATTATTTTTACATTGATAAATACACCGCTGAAAGAGCCTCATCCCATAAATGTATTGTAAGAAATATATAATAAAAGACAGCTCTTTAACTCTTCACCCATTCAATCAATACCGACGAAACATGAACACAGTTTTTTCTCCGAAACTCAATAATTAAAATAATAAAACATGACAAATAGTGGCGAAGTCATTTACAATTTTCGTTTACGTTTAAAAGTACAATACAAAAAGTACACTCGAAATTATTTTCCCTACACCAATTTAAACTGTGTTTGAACCGAAATTAGATATATAATTGTCTAGTTTGCAAATAATTTCAGTGCAAAGTTCTCAGAGATAGGGCTTATCGCCCACTTAACCGCAGGCTATATTGGAGAACACGACCCAAACGACACAATAAGGAGTTGCCTGTACTTTACGGTAAACGTACCGCTGGGCACATATTGTATGCTTTATAACGCATACAATACTGTTTATTCGCAAAACTCTTGCGTAATTGTTGTATAGGTGATTTTATTATTATTATTTATTCAAGCAGTGTTGGCCTACAGTTCTTACGCGTATTAAATAACGAATTCATTAAAGCCGTATCCACTACAACAAGCGAAAATCTGGAGGCAGTGCGTATACCAAGTCCAGCAAAAAAGGCGACAAGGCCATACACACGCCTCTATAACTTTAAAAAAATTAGAAGCAGAATTTTTCCCAAGTAGGGATTGTATTTCACATTGAAATTGAACCAGTAGTTTGAAAATTATAACTAGTCAAATTTCTTAATTTTGTCACTCCCTAGTGACTCTGTTAGTGGACTGACCGATCATGAAACGCAAAGGCACTTCTAGTAGACATAGAACCTTCAAAATTAGAATACAAATAGTGTTCAGTGTAGAAATCAAGTGTGTTATTATTGTATGTATGTACTCTTTAATTGGTGTCTTCATATCATGTGTTGGTATCATCACCGATTATTTTATTTGTATATTTCTTTACTGTAGTTGTCTTTTCTACTCTTTCTTTTTTTAACTTTTTTATTATCCGCGAAACAATTCAAGGGAACTTATATAAATAATTGACAAGTTTCCTTATGGAATTTTAATTAGTGGCATGAGGGTGCCACTGTTTATGAGCAACATTAATACTCGCTCGTACGGTGAAGGTAAACATGATGAGAAAACCGACATGTCTCAAATTAAAAAATGAACGACTTGTGTCAGGTGGTAGCAATACCTGACACAAGTCGTTGATTTTTACCGATCCATACTTGTCCATGAAATAAAAATGATCATAGAAAGGGCTGCAATCTGAGACCAAGTTCCATTAAAGGTAGCGCCACGCATATTATTATTAGTCCAACTAATAATGTAGCTGTTGAACTAATATTTAAATCCGCCTTTCCATAGTTGTTCAATCTATTACGTGTATACTTTGTGGTGTTTTTTTCCCTAAAATAAATTGTCTACCATTCTGTGGTATAATATAAATAATATAATATATCGTATTATAATTATTTCAACTCCTATATTTAATAATAAAGTCATGAGAAGCCTTGAGCGGAAAAAAACTTATGACAGAGTAAAATAATTGGTATCTTTATATTCATAGAAGCTTAAAATAAAAGGAAAACTCTAGTGCAAAAGTAAAAAAAATCGTGTCGAATACGTCGTTTTTTTAAAAAGTGGACATCGCATAATAGCCTCCTCATTAAGAAACGGTTGGAGTGGAGATCCTCAAACATTTTATAATGATACTAATATGTGCATTTTCTTACCATTCTTACCATTTTGCTTACCATGTTTATAACACATTTTTTTAATGTACTACTTTTGGAAAAAAATATTATTCTCTATATGATTATTTGCGTAAAACTTTATAATGAATATTAATTTAATAACATAATCATAAATTTAAAAAATGTAAAATTAAAATACTTTAAATACAAATAAGCACGCGATTATGTGTGATAGAATATCCGAACTTTCGATTGTACCACCATTACGTTTTTGTACCAAATTATTGCTGATAAATTATGATTGTTATATTAAAATATACAATCATTAACATTAATAACTATATCATCTTAATCTAAGCTGCCAAATAATAAAACACTAGAAGATCATTTAGAAGTTTCGTCCCTGGAGTAAGCCTTTCGCTTTTCCTTGCTCTATTGCGATTTTATACGCCGAGGGATTGGATACCACTTTAATAAATTATTAAGACTTCATTATTCGTTAAATCACAGAAATTGATAACTAAACTAATTATCCGTTTATTTGTAAAGAAAGTGGTTCATTTACAAGTAGGTACATCAGCACAAGCCATACAAAATTGGCATGCAAACGTCATATTAATTTTCATAATGTCATAATAATAAGTTGAGTTATTTCTATTGTTAACAAACTTTTTCATGTGTTTTCATTAATCTGGTTTCTCGCGGAGCATTGTTTACTAAATCAAGTTAATAATGGCATAAATAATTGGTCAGTAATGAATACCAAATATATAGAGACGAGACATAGCGGTGAGTGATTCCCGTGTAAGTTTATTTAATAGGGAGTAATAAATCACGTGTTTCGACTCTAGGGTACTCGAGTAAGGATAACATTCTGATACTAAAAACTTATATCCACTAAGTTGGATTAATTGTTTAATGTGCGCTATATTCCTTATATAATAAAATCTCTTTGAATGTATTACATTATAAGTTACTACTGAATTAGTACAAAAAGTCAACTTTTTTAAGTTTAGTATCATTAGCAAGATTATATTATTACTTTAAATTCTTGAGAATTTCTATGGCGTAGAAGTACCTCCGCTGAAAGTGTTTTCGGTATTATATATTTTTAAATAAATAAAAGTGTAGTCAATATAATTATCTCTATAGTTGAATGGCGCCATGAATATATAATTTATTATTGAAATTAATCTGTACATTTAATTCAAATTTAAATGGAAGTTCGTGTCTTCAACGTACGATTCTCATCCCCGAAGAACCCCGTGGACTGTGTGGATTTTCTGTCCGCTCGAAAGGAGAAGGAATACATCTTGAGGGAACCGGCAAGCCACTCAAAAATTCGACGTTGTGCGTCAGGCACAGAAGGCTGATCACCTACTTGCCTGTTAGAATAAACAACTTCAGAAATTGGAGGCCAAAACCGAAAATCTTCTAGCGCCAGTGGTTTTTTTTAAATAATTTTAATACATTATTGTAACTTGTTAAATACATAATCATAAATGGTTTCATAATAATATAAAAACTCGCCAAATTGATTTTATAGAAAACATACGTTTTTAAAAAAGGATGAAAAACATTTCCTGCAGTAGCTATTCTTTTGTTGGAAAATATAATTGCATTTTATTATATTTTAAATTTGGAATGTTATATTAATCAATCGGTCGTATATGATATTTATTTAACGTATTGCGATATACACATTCAATTAATGAACATTAAACAAACCGTTTGGGGTTTTGCTAATGGGTTACCTGAACTATGTCTAGTATTAACGAATTTGAATGAAATATTTTTATCTTCCAATTTTGGTGGGAGTCTAGTGAGACCTGAGGTCGTTAACCCCAGCTGTGTACAAATGTTTTCTTTCAATAAATGCAATTACTTGCTCGTTCGGAGAAAATAAGTGGCCCGATTGTTTTTGAAATCGAACGCCTTCATACTTAGCCATAAATATGCTTGTAGATAATATTATTTAGTAGAAATCTTTTTATAGTAAAACTAGCTGACCCGGCAAACGTTGTTTTGCCATGTATATTCTAGGAAACATTTTTATAGTTCAATAAAAATAACTATCTACTATTTTAAAAAATATAAATGAAAATTGAGGGTTGTATGTGTTTAGGTATAAAAAATATAAAAAAACAAAAAATTTGGTCCAAAAAATAAAATTTAGGAGTGGACCAGACCAACCTTAACATTTAGGAGGATGAAAAATAGATGTTGTCCGATTCGCAGACCTAACCTATACGCACACAAAATTTCACGAAAATAAGTTGATCCATTTTGGAGGAGTTTAATTACAAACACCTTGACACGAGAATTATACATATTGGATGTATAATTCTCGTGTCAGGATGTCACGAATTGGATTAAACCAACAACTTACCGGTGCAACGTCTCCTACTAGCTGCCCTCGCGTAACACAACAGCGCTCCAAGAAAGAAGACAGACGACAGCATCTCAGCTCTACCGACTACACCCGTCACCTGAAAATATTATAAAATGAATTTAATGTTTATTGTGTAAAAATATTAAGATCAATGATTACGGTGCTTTTTTGAAGACTATACAAGTAAAAATGGCGATCGAATTTCATATTTCCTTTGGTTACGCAAGGTTTATTTATAAAGTTTCAAATAGTTTTATCTGACAAAGTAACATTTAGGTATCTTTTTGTACATAATATAATAAAGCCCGTTTTATTTCCAATCATGACAAAAACAAATTATAATATACACCTTAGATTATTTTACATTTTTTTCTTTTGCTTGTTATCCTATATCCTAGCTTCCTTCAGTACCGTCCATCGGAACCCCAACACGGGTAAAGGCCTCCTCCAGCTTTTTCCAACTGACTCTGTCTATGGCTCTCTTTCTCCATTCGTTTCCTGCTACGACCTCTTCTCCTTCTTCTTCTTGGTACTTTCCATACAGTTGTCTTTAAGGTCCACCTATTATTATCTGTGTATCTCCATATATGCCCCTTATTATACTTATGAACGTCTAATACCTCCAAATAAACATTTACTGCCTGTTCTCGAATCAAGGAGCGTAGTTTGGACGAAATACTCGCAAGAAACTTTGGGCCACTGTTTTAAATCGACAACTATTTGAATTTATAAGATGCTTGTAAGGATCTGCATCGATTACACCTAGCTCTAAATGGTATAAAATTATATTTATAATAACAAACATGTAGCCTCTATCCGTATGCATGGCGAAGTAGGTGCACGCACCTACTTTATTATAGTGAGAACAAATGTTTTGTATATGTCGCAGCCAACTAGCTTAATTAGCCGTTCAATTAATAGCCTAGCCTTTTAACTAGCGGGCTGAAAGATGTTCAGCCAGTTGATCAAACAGCTAGGCAAATGACTTGGATCGATGACGTTCATTACTTGCCTAACCTGTTGACTATTAATTAAAAATTAGTTCCACTTTCTGCCACTCTCAAACTCGAAACGAAACTCTTCAAACTATCAATATGGCGTCGGCAAACCACAAATTTGATGGTGTGTTCCAAAGTTTCATGAAAAACAACAAGTACAATGGAAGAATGTAGTGACAATAATAATGTGAATTTGATCCAAGCAATTTAATTTTAAAAGAAATATTTTTTTATGTCATATGTGTCATATTTATTTCTGCCAAATAAAGACTATAGTACGAATGGTCTAAGCTTTAGCCAGCCAGTTTATTAAATGTTGTAACAAAGTCTACGGCTGAATATCTTGCAGGCCGCTAGGTAAACGGCGCCGTTTAGTTAAAAGGCTAGGCTGTTAATTGAACAGCTGATTAAGCTAGTTGGCTGCGACATATACATTAATTATTTTTCTCATAATGAAAAATGTCTTATAGATGTTTTCCACTCCCACACATTGTAGAGCTTTATTACACAGCTTTTATACGTTGCTTATTATTTTAAACAAGAAAAATATTTTTAAACTCTTTAACGTAAATTGGATTAAAATATATTTTGTTTAGGGGGTGACCATAAATTACGTGAGGTAAACACCTCATGGGGGGGAGGGGGTCGAGTCAAATCTCATTTTATCTTACGTTGGAGAGAGGTGGGGGGGTCTCGGCAAATATCACGCAATTTTTTTTCCGATTGCAAAAAAAAATTAGCAAAACCGTTGACCCTAAAGGCCATCTCTGCAACTTCCCGCTAACTCCATACCTAAACGCTCAACATTTCACTTATTTCTCTTCGAGCTCAAAAGTACGAATTTTTTGTTATTTTGAGTTCTCCGAGCTCAAAGAGTTAGCTAGTTGAAAAATCTCACGTGAGATTGGGGCATGGGGGAGGGGGTTGAATAAAACGACACGACATCTCACCAGGGGGGAGAGAGGTACCAAAAATTTTAAAAAACACCTCACGTAATTTATGGACGCCCCCTTATAAACAGTACAACAGAGTGTTTTAAATGTAGCTAAATATAAGTTTAATCGGACTAGTATAAACAGAAGAACATCGATATATGATGAATATTTAATGTAGAGCTTTTTGATCAACTAACCACGAATATAGCAGGTTTGCGGTTTTGTATATAAATTTGTGATTGAGTATCGTGTGCTTGTTTGTTTAGAATTAGCCATTTAAGTTCATTAATAATTATAAGTGACATCTCTCACAAACCAAGCGTGTGCGTTGCCGAATTGTGAGTGAATGCGTTTTCTTGACTGAAGAAGGAAATTTGCAATATTTCAAAATTTTTCAACATTTGCTATAGGATAGAGAACAGTAACGATGATTTGGGTGTTAAATAAGGTGTATGCCATTATTAAACTCCCAAAACGTGTCTGTAATAAATTAATAATTGCCTAGTGGTTCCATAGTGCAAGAAAGTGTTTTGGGATCTTCAGAATTGCTGTAGTATTGGCATTTCTAATTATATCAACGCTTAAAAGTCTAGACAAATTTAGATTTATTTTAAATTTTAGATAATTTTAGGTACCCTGATATTATTTTAGGAAGGCTTTGTAGTAAATAGTAACGTCATTTGTGTGTAAAGCTACTATCATATATTTTAAAATATATTGGTATAAAATTGTGACGTTAATTAAGACTTTCAATAACACAAAGACATTGTGTTCAGTCAAAGGCCCGTTAATAAAAAGCAAAGTGCAATGTTCCTTGTTAGAAATTATCGAGAGAAAATATTGAAAGCGCAGTCTGGGAAAATGGAGGTGACCGCTTAATAGCGAAAAGCTCCGGCCCCTCTGTTAGCGACGTGGACATAATAAAAGCAAAAATTTAAACTTATATAAAATTGCATAATAGAGTGTTTGCTTTGAGTACGTTAATTCAATTTAAGACTATATTTTCTTTAATAAATTTTTTAATTAATTTATTTATACGTTCTAAAACAATGTGTATGCCTATAAAATACAAGAAAATATGACACAAATTTAACACACAAACATTACATTAGAACATAACCAATAGCTTTCAATTATTCAATAAAAGCTTAATGATGATGACTTAAGAAAGAAAAAAACTTAATTACACGGTACAAAAGGATGTATAGTTAAAAGAGAAAGTGCACTAGACCCCACTCTAAGATTCCCTGTGTCGTGGGCAGTCAGTCTCTTCCATTTGACATATTAATAATTTTAGGTACTTGACTAAAAACATTGTACATAACACTGACAATTTTATAATTAAACTATTGTTGCACAAGAATATAAGTCTCTTCCATTTGACATATTAATAATTTTAAACAAAAAAAACACCATACTTTCTGATTCAGCAAGTGACAGGTTAAGAAGTTGCTTGTTAGTGAACATATAATATATGTATATATATTGAATAGATAGTAAAAATTTTGCTTTTAAGAAAGTGGTTAAATATGCTATATCTACTAAATTCACAGCTGTTATTTACATCTAAAATGAAATTATTGATTGCATGTAAACCACCAATTTGTATATATCACTGATTTTTATTTATTAAGATTTGTGTGAGAACAAAACATTAAATAATTGTGACTACGTAAATACTATGTTTTTGAATATGGGTTTAATTCTTGCTTATAATACGCCTTGTAACGTGCATTTAATAAGTTAGATTTCTATAAGTATACGGTACGGTAAAGCCTAAACATCTATTCTCTCAAAGTGTAACGCCGTCGAAAGCCAGCGTGAAATAGCAAACATAGTTAGTGCCCGAAGTGCTGTCAGGTCGCCCGAGGCTGTCCCACGACTTCATTACAAACAGTTTTACTTGAAAACAAGTTACACATTACTAAGGAGTTTAACACTAACGTCAACACTAGATAGGTTTTCTTTTATTAGCTTAGAGTTTATTGGAAATTGATCGAATTTCTATGTTCACTGTTTGTGCCTCTTCATAGTAAAAGATATATGATTGTCCTGAAGGCATTTTAATGTTTTCATGGATCAAAGTGGTTATTGTTTTGTATTAATAAACTCCAAATTAATTTCTGTACCAGCTGAAGTATATATTTAAATTTCTGTTTTGGTATATAATCGACTTTGGGCATTTCTAACCATTTACCAGGAATAAAACTCGGAACAATAAAAGACAACTAAATAAGAATATTATAGTGCTACAGATGATACTTTATTATTGTCTTTGTTATCTGTTATTACTAGCCTATTAGAAATAAGAAATTACTAATCTGCTACTGAAGCCGAATCCAGCCTACAAACCCTTGACAATAGACTGGCGACACCCTTGACATTTGGTAATAAGAGGGTATAGTTTAGTATGAGAACGATAATTTATTTTAAGACTATTTTTTCTTTCAAGAACGAATATATATTATGGTTAACATAAACTCTATTGATCTTTTCAAATTCAAAATCATTGCTGTTACAAACTATTTAAAAATTTGGAATTTAGAAATAAATAAAACAGCGTTGAGTTAGGCAAATGATGCAGACCGCTTTATTTCCGAGCATAGACAGGGACGATTGCAGTTTAACATATAGATATAATATAAAATGCATCCTGCATTAAAAGAGAAAGTGCATTAGCCCTCACACTAGGATTCCCTGTGTCGCGGGCAGTTAGTCTCATACATTTACATATTAATTATTTTAGGTATTTGACTTAATAAATTTTACATAACACTTACATATTACATCGAATTAGAAATATGAAATTACCAATCTCCTTCTAGAGTCGAATCCAGCCTTCAAAAGCCTTATGTCAATGCGAAATAAAAGAGAGTTGAGTCTTTTTCGCTTTATTCCAAAACGATTCCATTATTTCTTATACAATAATGCGAATAGTAATAGTATCCTAATCTATCCAACGTGTATTGAAGAAGCCAGCTAAAAGCGAAGAATCGCTGACGCCCTCGGATTAAGCTTATCTAATTATGTCACCTGAGGATCATAGATTTAATAGATATTGATCAATTTATAATTACTATTTATCCAGATTAATCCGTATTTACCTACATATTTGTTGAGCGTGGCCTATTTTACAGTTAGTTTATTTAAGTACATACCGTTTGACAAGGGCGTCATTCCTTTAGAGAATTGAATAAACTTTTTTTGTTTATTAATTTGTCAAAATAATTAAAAAATCATAAAAAGAAAATTAAAATGTTTGGTCCTTGAGGCAGTGTACCTTTAACACTGGCAGCATTTTCTCGCTGTTTTGCGATACTTATTCATTGAGCGAGGAAAGCACCAGCTCTGGGGTCACCGGTACTATCTACCAGGCGCCAACTTAAATCTTTAATTAGTACCTGTGCAGTTGAACCCCACGTTGAGTGTACTCCAAAGGGAACAAAATCGAAGTTGGAGGAAAGACTCTTGTATTTGAACCGTTTTATTTTTATTATTACTATGTAGGTAAGAAGATTGTAAATATTGTTTATTTGATTGTTACGTTTAGGTTTTATTTAAGTAAAAACCAATAGGGAATTTGTCATAATTTTGTTTTATTACTTACTATGTTTACATGTTTTATTTATCGTGTAGTCAACTGCTTTATACCACTCATATTTTTCCCAACATCTGTACCTACTTTTACTTGCCCCCTGACCCCTTGACAACATACTGGCACCCTTGCTTTTTCTGTAAATTGTTTACACCTAGAAAGAAATAGTTTATACTAAACGTATTTGCTACTATTTCTTTTTTCATTTTAAGTTGCAACGATGGATAAATCTTATAAGTAGTCTAAAGACTCATTGTACCTTTATATGTGTTACTATTCTTTATTTTCTTGTAATTAAAATAAATTAATAATTCTAATAAAAAAATAAAAAAAAGCACTAACACAACAACCTTTTTAGTTCTGGCCCTCGGATTTCTTTATCTGTTTCAAGATTAATAAATCTTCTCAATAGTTTAGTAGGTGATCAGCCTGCTGTGCCCTCATACATCGATTTTTGAATCTAACGCATGCCGGTTTTCTCTCGATGTTTTCCTTCACCGTACAATCGAGTGTTTAATGCGCATTTAGAAAGAACTGTGCACAGGTTTGAGTGGCGCGCTCAAGCCACTAGGCCAACACTGCTAACACTTTGAAAGCCCAACTATTGAATTGGAAATACATGTTTTTATGTAATAGGAGGCAAACGGGCAGGAGGCTCATCTGGTGTTAAGTGATACCGCCCCGCCGCCCATGGACACTCACACTGCCAAAAGGCTCGCAAGTGCGTTGCCGGCCTTTTAAGAATTGGTACTCTCTTTTCTTGAAGGACCCTAAGTCGAATTGGTTCGGAAATACTTCAGTGGGCAGCTGGCATAGTGGTAGTGCGCGGCAAAAACTGTCTTAAAAAACGCTCAGTTGTGGAACGGCGGACGTCGAGGTGAGACGAATGGTATTTTGTATTTTGCCTTGACGTCCGATATCTCCAATTCCGTATAATAGAATGGTATTGGACATTATACTTCTAATTACTACAGTAGGGATCGCCACCCCTAATCGAAGGAGTTCCGTCATAAATGGTCCAATTAATTAGAAATGTGGGTATCAATAGCCACAATACAAAGGATAGAGAGTTTATATAGAAACTAATTACTTATAGAGATAAGAAATAACATAGCATATGCATAGAGGTTTAATTGTCCGTTGAGTGAACTGACTAAAGGTCTGCTTGCTGCTGTATGTACTTGTATTGTTTTGTAAGTGATATAAATGCAAATAGTTGCCGCATTGGAGTATTGGTTGCTTATTTTGTCAAGAATATATAATCCTTTATGTTCTACTGTATTTAACGTTATCTCTAAGGTGAATGAATTAAGACGCAGAGCTACTTTAATTAGTTTAATTTTTTTTTGGTCGAGTAATTTAGGTATTCTTTAATTAATAGAACACATAAAAAAAGGGTGCGTGTACTTCTTATGTACGCGCGTAAGAAGTTATACTTCTTTGGCATGATTAAAAATAGTTTTTGATTGCATGCAAATAATTAATTACAATTAAATAATCAAAGACTGGAAAAGGAGTCATTATAGTCAATAAAGTTCAGTTTACATTTCATTCTGTTAATTTTGTGTCACGGTGCGCGCGCATCGTAAAATTTCACTCTCATCAATTTTTCATAACGCGCCTAAAGAAGTATAACTTCAAAAACAATAACTAATCTTAAAATATAATAACTAAAATATATTATTAAAAGGAGTCCCTTTAGGCGAGGTTCCGAACATACTACTGGCAGCGTTCCCGTAGTTCGTACTTGCGACGAGCCCTTTAGTTTTCCATATTCATAAATTGTAATATGACATTCTGGTTCCGACAATATTCAATAGGTCAACATCACTTATATTATTTATAGGTAACAGACGTGTCAATTAGTTTTAAAAACTCATAAATAAGTTACAGTTTTTTGTAAGTCCAGTGTCGCAACCCCACTTTCGTAATTTTATGTAAGTTATAAGCTCTTGTTTTAAACGATTAAAGGTAGCTGACACTTAGATTCTAACAAAGTGTTTTATTTATTTTAACCCTACTTAACTCGTGTCGTCACGAGAATTTTATACACATATGTGTTAAAAATGAAATGTTGTCAATTAAAAAGTAAACATTGCAATCCAGTTATACCCGGCTATCACTCAGTTTAAACAGCCATCGGCTGTGACAAACGACAAAATGTAAATGTCAGACAAAATTGGAAGTGAGTTAAATAGACCCTGAGGGTCGCATGTGGTTTTAAATTTTGGTTAGTACATAACCATGTCAATTGGTTTGTTTAATGGTGCCACAATTATTCATAGTATTTATTTCCCACACATAAATAAATGGTTTACAATATTCTTAAACTACATAGTAATAATAATAGTTAAAAATGAATAAATAGAAAATTAAAATAAATTTTAAATTTTAGAAAATGTCCCTGTGGCAGTGAATCTTAAATCTCTGTGCAAAATTTCTTTTTGCGATTCTTATTCGTTGAGGATTGCACCAGCTCTGGGTTCACAGGTCCTATTTACCAGGCGCCAACTTAAATCTTTAATTAGCGCCTGAGCACTTGAACCCCACGGGCCACGGCCCAAGAGTATCTTTTACCTTTTACTAGAAACTACGGTGGCGTTTCTTCCCAGTTCTTCTCGTCCGACCCTAGATTTGAGGAAAAGCGGTAAACGATGTATTTTTGAAGTTCATAAGTACATTGTAAGAGAATTCGGTAGAAATCGGTATTAAGCAGCGACTGTTTTCAACAGTACAATCTCGCATCCTTACATTCTTCGGTCACGTATCTCGGCGTGGTGATAGGTCCATAGAACGCCTTATCGTCCAGGGGAAGCTGGAAGGCACTAGACCGCGCGGAAGGTCACCTACGCGTTGGACTGACCAAATCAAGTCTGCCGTAGGAGACTCTCTCAATCAGTGCAGCAGGATGACCACTAATAGGCAACGATGGTAAAACGTCGTGAAGCGCATCACATCTGCCCCTAATATTACAACTACTTCCTAGCGATCACGACCGCTCTGTCACGAGTGCACCGGATAGGAAGAAGAAGTACATTGTATTTCCTATATGAATTATTACATACAGAGTGCAGCTTCGCTTGCTCATATTGCACAGGTGGAATTTACAAAAACCTTATATTTATTGAATACATTTCTTTATTTAAGATGTTATACGCAAATTTATGATATAATAGGCATTTCGACTACAGACATTGTGAATTAAAATTATAATATTTTTTATAATAATTAAGGTTATATTAATGAGACTTTACATATACAAAACATTGCTATATGTCTAAGCTTTTCAACGTATTGAAAAAAACTAATTTACAAGCAGAGCTATGGAGACAATGGTCCCAGGTGTTTTGAAACATTAGTAAACAATCTTAGCAACTTACAGCTTCAGTGTGTATTGGGTGCACAGCGAACAAGATGGCCGCCACGAAACTTGCGAATTCTGGGAGAAACATTGCGCACACTCTGAAACAAAGGGGATTCTCATTAGAACTAGGTCATTGCTCTAATTATAGTTTGCTGAAGCCTTGTATTTAATTAGGCGTATTAAAATCAAAACATAGTAATTAAAAATGTGGTCACTAAATTCATATTTATAAAAATATTTTTAAAATCTTTATATAAATATGAAATATTAGGGTTTCGGTTATAATACATAATTTTGAAAGAAATTATTTAAATAAACCAAAATCAACAAAGTTATAATGCGGGGTTACATACAATATTCAAACACTATATATATGTCTTTAAATTTAATTTAGACTAATACATAGAATATTGTATTGATTATTAACACACGAGGACAGAAGCCACTCAAACTTCACTGAACAACGCGTTGAATTGTTAAACTAGGTTGTCTTAATAAAAAAAATTATATAATAAGTATAATTTTAGCTTAAACTTATTATTAATTTAAAGTTATTTTATTTACCACACCTTACACGGATTCTCTCTCTTATTGGTGTCTGAAAACCCAATCGGTGTTTCGATTTAAAAATTATTTCGTATTATAGTACTCCCTTACTTACCGGGTCTTTTACGAATCAGTGTCTTTTTCTGAAGACGAATTATCAAATTTTAAGTTCCGTAGTTCGCATTGTTCCCTTTAAATATTCAATCGGCCTATTTGAATGCACTGCATAGAGAAGGAGCGGTTAGGTCAAAGTCATTTTAGATCGTTAAGCCGACGTCCGGTGCCTCTAATCTTACTACCTAAGCACCTTACACGAATGCAATATGCATGTCTTCGCCTATTTTATGTACGGCACCTGTTACTGTTCGATGAAATAGAATTGGCATACAATATTCATGGTGTCAAGGCGTACGATATTTATAATGAATCGATTTTTATGAGCGAAGGGTTACTATGTTGTTGACTTTGAAAATATATTTTTCACCTAGACAGACATTTTATATTCTAAAATGTTATTTGCCCCGGTAGAAGAAGGAAGAAGATGAATTTTTACCCCATGAAATGTGAATCGAATTAATGAGCTACTCAATTCAGACGTGCGTACTTGAAAAGTTTTCTCACCTTGAGTAACAGAGAGGAAGTCTGTGAAGAATGTAATGGTAACTTGTTCAAATCTTCTTCCATACTATATATTTAAAATGTGTGTGACAAATGCTAAAATCTTCCTTCTCTCTTTAACAAATAAATACGGTATGTTTAGAACAACGAATTAACCTCAAAATCGTATATAAACATTGCCTAAAAGCCTCGTGTGTTATTAAAACAAAGCGTTTGAAAGTTTTGTGGGTTTCGTCAATGTTCACGATACCCGAGTGCTTTCATTTCAAATAAATACTTTTAATGTATTTATTAGTTCTTGGTTTGACCCAGTTCATAACTTGTTATCATGTAAAAGAGATTAAAAGTACTGGGAACTTTCTATTTACATAAATTGTTAGTTTATGGGAAATTGTCCATGGTTATACATTTATCCAAGAGCTCGCATGGAAATAAAGACAATTTAATATGTAAAACAGGAATAAAAAAAGTTTTTTTTATACTTTCCCTATACGATTAAAAAAACAGTACAAACGGAAAAAGATCCTATGTCCGTCTCCTAGTTCAAAGCTACCTCCCTATAAATTTTCAACTAAATCGGTTCATCTGTTCTTGAGTTATAAATAGTGTTTGAGTTATAACTAATATATATTTCTTTTATTTATATAAGATTTTGAATTCTAGATACAAAACTGTCTTTCTTCCCATAACTGTATAAACATGTACAATTTTCCCATAAACTAACAACTTCAGTAAATAGAACCTTTTTTTTTTTTTTAATGGCTCTGGCACGGTTTGTGCATTAGCCAGCGTCAAGTACTCGTATAAGATGTTTTATAACTCGTGCTTGCCTTTTTTAGAAATTCGACCGTGTCCTCCATGTACGGTTTAAGCACTCGCCCGGAACCGCACAACCCTCCCAAAGGCCGAGAACAAATTTAAATTAAATTAAAACTTGCCCTCGAACCGGGAATCGAACCCGGTACCCCTCACCTAGCTGTCACTTAATATGACCGCTAGGCTATGAGGCCTCCTAGAACCTTTTAATCTATAACATTTTTAAGCTCAAGATTATAATTTGAATTTCGAATGCTTTACATGTCTTAGATAAGCAAAATCAGATCTAAAGTTCGATGTGACAATAAACGTGCAACTTTGTTGACACCTCAGCACAGGTCCAACACTATCTAATTGAGTCCGTGCACCAACTTCGGTCGGAATTAAGGTTCTCGTTAGTGACTTTTTGTGTTACTGCCAGAATCTCTATCGGAGTTTGCGAAACATTTATACGTCCTCGTAGTTTTCGAGCTTGTATGTAATGAGTTCCTCGATTGGATGCGATACTGGTGTGGGTTTAGTGAAACTTTTGAATGCTCATTGTTTTTATTTGATGGAGTTTGGGTGTTATTAAGGGAAGTTTTTTCGTTTTTATACTGATGGAGTGATTCTCATTTAATTTGTGTTTGTTCGTAGTAAAGTAGTCTGGTCTCCAACAGGGATTCCAATTGTACAAATTCTTAAAAGGTCGGCAACGCACTCGCGAGCCATCTTAATTTAATTAACGCGGGGCATAGTTAGTTTAAATAAACATTCAACCTTGTACCAACAAAAACTCTAAATACATTTAGAGTTTTAAAACGCCGCCCATGGAGCGTTATCACTTAACATCAGGTGAGCCTCCTACCCGTTTGCCCCCTGTTCTATAAAAAAAAATACAAAAACATCCGAAAATGTTAGATCTATTTATATTTTACAATGTTTCACGTTTCTATATTCCCAGAAACTTGCAGGAAATATTTTATTTGAGAAGTTTCCACTCATACTTTAATATTTTCCGTTTTCACGTGTAACGAAGTATGCTTGCCATCTTTCTCTTTGAACCTGTCTCCAGAATCTTCGTTGCCATGCCAACCATATATCGTGATTAATGAGGAGTGAAACGATGCGCAACCTCTTTCTTTGGTGCCACTAAAATGAAAGAATATTCGAGTACACTTACAACATACGTCTCCTGTGTTTCATAAGATATTCTGCCTCAATATTAATATGATTATATTCAAATTAATTCTATTTTGGGAGTAGGCCCTTTGTTGTTGCTGTGATTAATTTATTCTCGTATTCGTCCTCTCTTTTACCGCGTTTTGTATATGTTTTGAAGTCGTGAATATTTAATCACTGTGCTATTAATTTATAAATATGATAATTATAACCTTTTTTTTATTATTGAAAACCGAAGTCTGTTTCACAAAGCATTCATAAGTAACAAACTTGTTTTGGTAGCCATAAACACTCATTTAACAAAGAATCATGTTATATAATTAGTAATTAACAGAACATAAAATCATTTACTTACCATTATATCGGGATCTTTCAATATTAAAACAACTGGAGTAGTTATACGTAGCAATCATTTGATGCTGCTACGAGGTTATTGTCTACGAAACGTAGGCTATCGTCTCAAAAGCTTCGTAGCAGCATAATCTATTCTCTTCGTAGCAAGTATGGGCTTATTTTGCTCTTCAGACTACCAAAGTACTCTCTATACTATATTATGCTTTGCAATATTCAGTTAGAATACTAACTTCGCCTAAGTAGAACTCGTGCTCTTGGCAAGATTTGTGACCTCTTATTTTCATAAGCCTTTTTGACACTATATATTTTTTGACTTTATTATTTTTTGACTTTATGGCATTTATAAATACATATAGACACGGTCTAGAGACTTATAATATATAAGGATATACTAGGTAGGTTTTTCAAGAGCTATATATAAACTATTATATGTACCGATCAAGTTGTAATTTGCGTGTTTATATGTTAACTAACTGCAATTATTCCGTTCTACGTACTCGTAATAGATTATATATCGCAAGCGATCTATTCGACCACAACTAATCAATCACGTCGATACGCCCCCTATGTCAATCCTAGCGGATATGTTAATAATGCGACATAGTACTGGGTATTGAAATATATATTTTTTAAATATTGTACTTTTGTTTTGTTTAATACGTACTTTATATGTTTATATGATTATTATGAACTGTTACAATTAAGAATTTGATAAATTTTGTAATTTCACATTTACCTTAGGGGCTGTTGAAGTAGTACGTAATCAGATTTACTGCCAACGTTTGGCATACTGACACATTGGTAAAAACAAACACAAAATACTATTTTTAGTGTGACAAGCACTTAAAGGCAAACATGACATACATATATATAGAGATCATAACCTATTACCACACAAACATACATTAAACAAACATACAACATTACAAAAAAAAAAACAATTACTAATCAAAGAAAAAATTCAAATTAAGTACAGAAAACGACTTCTCTTGATGATTTCATATGAGCGAGTGTTAAATAAATATTCAGGCCAAATCTGCACTCTGTTACTTCAATTATCGGTTAAAAAATATTTACGTCGTCACTTTTTTTTTCGTTTCATAGCAGTCCTAACATTTTGAATAACGATAATCAATCGATTAATTTCTACATGATTTCATAATACATTTTCAGATTGCTCAATTATTCTTTACACATTGTTTTATTTATTCCAAAAATGATTAACACAAAGCTTTTATTTAGGTAATACAACTTGCGTAACATAATTAATTATTGTATGTAGCGGGACAAAGGGTCGGAATTAAGGGCATTTATGACGTCTGCGGCGTGTTTCAAGCAATGAAAAACTAATTCAACGTAGTTAAAACTCCCTGGATGGCCGTCAATCCAGGGGAAAATAGCCCTTATTTCAATTCCGTAAATATTAAATTTACGTGTCAGCTTTTGTCAGGGTTGCTAACACTCTCGATTTCATATAAAAATAATCACTAATAAGAGTATGTTCGTGTGAGTATAATATGACTTTAATATACAAGTTTTTTATATGCCCTAACTTATTAAATATAAGTTACGCGAAGAATTTTAATTTAAAAA